TGGACTCTTAAGAAATTATATTGGCCCCTTTAATCTTTGGTTATACTTTCCTTTTGGGTGTTTAAGGCCATACAGTTGGCACAGATAAACCAATTTATTTTTACTCTTAAGGTCGTTTGAGGATCTGTACCTCAGGGGTCACATGGACTTGGGAGGAGCCCCTGGCTCCTTTCTTTTACCAGTTCCACCTATGTGAAGATAAGTCAAAGGTCCTGCTCAACCATGGCTGGCTTCGCTTGGAAGCATGGAGGAAATGTGGGAAACACACTTTGTAACAAACCTTTACAAATTGAAAATTTTACATAACCCTGTAAACAAGTTAATCATATGATTTGAGAATATTTAGAACTATGTACTCTTTCTAAGAAAAACAATGTAATCAGCCCCACAATGATTTGGAATCTCAATGTAACTTTTACAAGCTTAGCTGAATGCATACCTTTAATTTTATACCATGTTCTTTATTTGTAACCCAGTTATGCCCCTAACTCAGAACAATGAATGTGTGCATGAGATGTGACAGTGATGATGGCAAGTTTATGGGGAAGAATTAACTGAGAGGATAACCCTCCCTGAGTAGAAAGTTTCCAGTCAGTGTCACTGGCCCACATGTAAAGCAATCCAAGAAAAAAAACAATGCTGCTTGACTGCCTACCTTTGCTTTTACTTGTTTGGTTGTGGGGTGTTTTTTGTTTTTTGTTGTTGTTGTTTTTTGACAGGCTTTTCCTGTAGCCCAGTTGGCCTGGGACTAGCTATAAACCAGGTTCGCCTTGATCTCACAGAGATCAACCTGCCTTTGCCTCCTGAGTGCTAGGTGCTTGCTACCACACCCAGCCTGCTGTCACTTCTTGGTAGTGAGTACATCTATCCCTTTGTTAATGTTGTTGCTGCTGTCACCATCCTTCATTGACATTAACTCCAGTTTTTTGGTTTTTTTTTTTCTTTTTTTCAGGTTCCAACGAAGACTGAGGACTACTGGCTCTCTAGAAATCTTCCTGACTTCAGCAGCAGATTGGGACTGCTGAGGCTTCAGGTTTCATGGACTGAGCAGCTACCAGGTTTTCAGTCTCTCCAGCATGCAGATAGCCATCATTGAACTACCCAACTCTTAGCATATAAGTCAATTTAACAAATCCCCCCTTTAAAAATATGATTTTATTTATATTTTTGTTTTATTATTTGTTTATTTGTGTCTAGCTGCATGTGAGTATGCACACATACATGCAAGTACCTGTGAAGGCCAGAGGAAAGTGCTGGATCCCCTGGAGCTTGTGTTACAGGTGATTGTGATCTTCTTGATAGGGGTGTTGGGAACCAAACTCTGGTCATCTGGAAGTGCAGCAAGCACTCTTAACTGCTGAGCCATCTTTCCAGCCTCATAAATCCCCTTTTATAATCAATATTTATTCTATTGGTTCTGTTCCTCTAGAGTACCTGTCTAATACACCCTGTATTAGAGTTCACCTGTTCTGAGAGTGGTCTTATATGGCAATGGTAGCTGTGTTGTTTGACATACTTTGAGAATAACATCAGGGACTGGGAAGATGGCTCAGTGGGTAAAGTGGTTGCTATACAAGCATGAGGACCTGAGTTTAGATTCCCCAGCAACCACATAGAAATCTGAGCATGGCAGCACATGCTTATAATCCCAGTCCTGGGAAACAGAAAGAGGAGGATCCTGAGTGCTTGCTGACTAGTCAGCCTAACTGAAACAATGAGCTCCAAATTCAGTGAGAGACCTTACCTAAAAAATAAGGTGGAGAGTGATCAAGGAAGACACCTGACACTGACGTCTGAGCTACACAGGTGCATGTACCTGCACATACACCATCAGTAATACCTACTCCTCCTCCATGATAGTCCTATTGGGCCCTGTCTATAGAGTAGAATTGTCTCTGGATAGAACGTTGGGATTAATGATATGGTGTTCATCAGCATAATGCTGGCTTGTAGCCCAAATATGGATTTTTAAAAATCTGTATAACACTGGGACAGAATTATAGATAGGTTGTATCAGTGCTAATATTAGACTGTGCCTTGCTCTAAGTTACTTCATATTGTATAAGACAGTTGTTTTTCAGGCTATTCTTTGCTCTGAGAGATTCCACTTTACAAGCAGCATTTGATTTCATTTTGAGTACAAACACAGAGGCAGAATGACTTTATGGGCACTGTAAATAACACTATCTGTTTGACACAATCTGTGAAGCACAGACTAATAAATAATCTATTCCTAAAAATAAAAGTGTGCGATCCTACAAATTTATCAAAGTAAATTAGGACCCTATGAGCACATAGATGTACTGAAATCATATCAGAAAAACCAGACTTGAGAACTCATCGAACATACCAAGCAGAGGGTGTAACAATCTCACCTGGACCCCTTAAAGAGAGGGACACAAAATTGCAGTGGTGACATCCCCACTGAACTATCATCTGATCACCTGGTTTGTGAGCCAAGGCACTGATAGGCAGAGAACTCCACACAGGTCCCAGGGGCTTCAGCTTGGTTCAGTCCCCATGTTTATGTTGCTGACTTGAATTGCCATCTGTCCAACTGTCTGTCTGGACCTTCATCCATTTATCTGCTTATTCATCCATTTGGACCTAGTCCTGACCTTCACCTCTATGGTCTTTATGGTTCTGCCTTTCACTTCTGCAGTAAGCTCAGCTCTGACCTTGGGGCTTGACTTTGCAGTGGATCCTTGAGCAGACCTCAAACAAGGTTCATTATCTAATTCCCAAAGAGGTTTTATTTGTATCCCTATCTGCTTTCTGTTTGTCTCCAGTTAGGCTTCTTTCAAACTCTTTGAACTCTGCTGTGGACTCTTTAACCTATTGTAGCCATTCTGTAACCCAGACATACACACACACACACACACACACACACACACACACACACACACACGTGTGATAAGTACTATATGATTTGAGAATAGTAGTTAAGATTGGAATAAAAGAACCAGTGTTTTCTGTGGGCAACTACAAAGGGAAATTGGGACTACTTGGCAAATTATATCCAAGAAAACTAAAGTAGCTTGTGGATTTATTGTTCAATAAATTTTTTTTAGTCTTTTTGAGACAGGGTCTCCCTGTAGCCCCAGCTGTCTTGGAACTCACTGTGTAGACCAGGCTGGCCTTGAACTCACAGAGATCCACCTGCCTCTGCCTCCCAGGTGCTGGGATTAAAGGTATGTACCACCACGCCCAGCTATTGTTCAATAAATTTTTTAAATGGTGGAAAGACAATGTGTCCATGTTTCTGACATCATCTTCGTATTCTGACATTAGCATTGTTATGACAGTTATTTTTCTTGTTGCTGGGACAAAATACTTGGCAGAAGCAATTTATGAGAAGAAATGTTTATTTACGCTTACAATTTTTCTGAGAAGCCATGGCCAAGTTCATGGTGACAAGAGCAGCCCCTGTGGTGGTGGCAGGAGTGTGAGGTGATTTACTCACCTTTAGGCAGCTGACCAGGATCAGAGACCTTAGGTGGGAACCCAGCCAGTCATAACTCATAAACCCTTCTTTGACCCTACACTACCAGTTAGGCCTATGTCTAAAAGATTCCACAACCTCCCAAAACAGTACAACCAGCTGGGACCAACTGTTCAAACACATGAACCTGTGAGAATCATTTCACATTCAAATCATAGCAGGTTCTTTCAAGTGAGCTTAAAGAACATGATTATGTCCCCAAATTCCTATGGAAAACATCTTGGGTTATTAAAAAGGTAACTAAATTTCCACTTTGTCTTTAATTCTCCACTGAGAAGGGGACATAGACCCTAATAGTATATTTCCTCCTGTAGTGGTCACTACTTAGAGTGAGCACATAAGTGGAGGAGGCTGAGGTTGAACAGATGGTGTTGATTCCTATGAGACTGGATAAATGGAGTTGTAAGATCCTATCCTCCAATCTAAACTGTTGCATCTTCATGAGAACAGTTGTGCCTACTTGTGGGAGTCCATAAGGATTGGGCCTGTGAACTGTTAATGTTCCCTCCTAGAAGGACAGCATGGGGAGGGTTGTTGAACCTTCACCTGAGTATTCAGCCATTCTACCCAGCCATTTGTATGCAATTTTGTCCTAATTGTATATGATCTCAGGGTTTCTGGGAGATTTAGACTGGAGAAGACTAGGCTAGTTGGAAATCTGTCTATGTGGCTCTGGGGAAGCCATCATCCATGCTGGGTAAAGACCAGCACAACTAGTTGGGGATCACTCACATTCCTGTCAGTAACCCCTCACCCATACTCACTAAGTAAATTCAGTAAACTCATTGGTTCTTCAGGGTGAACTGAGATGGAATTGTAGTCTGGAATTTTCACAACAAATGTACTGGTAAAGACAGGACCATTTCAGAGCCTAGAAGGGGGCCTCTCAGAAGATAAGTGGGTTTGGGGTGAGGAGTACTGTGCTCCTGTTAGAAAAGGTTTGAGAATGGAGAGCCAGGAAAGGCTGTAGGGTCTGGTTACAGCTTTCTATTCAACAATGGTAATATAAAGCATGTTTGTCTAGCATATGTACTTAAAAGTGTAGGTTATGAATACAAAAACAGTTCCTCCCTCAGAAGGAACAGTTTTTCTTGAGCTAAATGTGAGTGATTTAGCTGGGGAACACAGATTCAGGTTATTACAAAAGGAATGTTTCACTGTGAGATGGTTACATGAGATTTTATTGTGATAATTACAGAACAAAGGAAATAATAAATTAAGGCATTTACCAAACACATTGATGAGGAACACAGATAATTTGGTTATAGAAAAGCAGGAAAAATTTTGCTGTAAGTTTCAGACTTTAAAAAATATGTGCTGGGCATTAAGCTCAGGGCCTCATATATGCTAGGCAAGCACTCTGCCATGGAGCTGCATTCTCAGCACATCTACTATAAGTTTCAGATGCTGTCTGATGACATTTTTAGCTTTTGGGTTGGTGAAAGCTAATGGTTTGCTAAAAATATATTTTATTTACTAATTCTTTTGACAGTTCCAGCCCACCTAGAATTTACTATGTAGACCAGGCTGGCCCTGATCTTAGAGAGATCTGCCTGCCTCTGCCTCCTGAGGGCTGGGATTAAAGGTGTATACTACCATGCCTGGACAAAGTGAAAGTAACTCAGCAAATAAACTCTTTTACTTTTGCAAAAGAGTGTATTGCCTTATTTGGGTAGTAAGCAAGTACATGGAGCAGGAAATTTGATAGGTTTTTATCCTAACTCAAGAGTACTTTGTCTTTTCCCCATTGGCTGGGATCCAACCATACAGTCTTTTGTAGTTGGTTAGTTTAAAAAGAATTGTGGCAAAGGAGATAAAGAAAAGGAATCAAAAGGGGTCAGCTATTCCCGGCCAAAGTACCTAGAATGCAGCAGGGCCTTCGTATAAACAAAAAATGTTGCAAAGATATGGGAGGTATGGAATGGAATCTATAGGTCATTAATTAAAAACCAAAAAATCGCCAGATGTGGTAGCACACGCCTGTAGTCCCAGTACTTGGGAGGCAGAGGCAGGCGGATCTCTGTGAGTTCAAGGCCAGCCTGGTCTACAGAGTGAGTTCCAGGACAGCTGGGGCTACAGGGAGACCCTACTTCAAAAAGACAACAACAAAAAATTTAGGTGGGTGTGGTGGCGCATGCCTTTAATCCCAGCACTTGAGAGGCAGAGGTAGGAGAATCTCTATGAGTTCGAGGCCAGCCTGGTCTACATAGTGTGTTCCAGGCCAGCTAAGACTACAGGGAGACCCTGTCTCAAAAAAAGAAAAAAAAAAAAGAAAAGAAAAGGACAGATATAATTGAGGACATTAAAAGGAAGTGGGGAAGAGTTGGGGGTGAGGTCTGAATATGATCAAATTGTATGAAATTCTAACAAAAAAGGTGTCATGAGGCGAAGAGAGATTACAAAATAGTATTACAAAGGTTACATTCCTGTGGTCATTCTTTTGATAGAAAATATTTGAAATCCTTGCAATCATTTTTCCTTAGGAGCACTCTGGGCATTCTCTTTGGAAAGGTATTTAGACAAAAGACCAATCTGCTACTTTGAGGCTCTGAAGCTCATTTTCAAGAACATGGATTAGCTGTTTCCCCTGTTGTAGAAGTGGACAGAGGAAGTCAACAACAAAAATCTTCAGGAGAGATGGAGAGTAGAGATTTGCAGGCCTGTAAGAGCAAA